TATTATGCAGCCAAACTACGCCATTTTTTTTGTTATAAGGTATTATTTAGAAAAAATAAATAAGAAAAGGCCAGTAAGAACGCCTATTCTTTCAACAACGACTTTTAATTTATGGATATCTCTCGATTTTTACAAAGAGTTGCAAAAATTGTAATTGTCTCGGGCAACTTTTAATAAATGCATTAATATGAGGAATATGGATGGGATTTACTTCATCTAAAATAATAATTCAATTTTAATTAATAAAGCGGACTAACTTTTAAACATCTTATCAAATCATTTAATTCAGGTCCCATACAAAATATTCTTTAAGCTTAATCAATTTCTAAAACAGTTTTTATTTAAGCAAGTACATACCTAAACTAGGCTAACATCTTCTATTTTTTTAAATCTGCATAGTTAGAGAAGTTTAAGGATTTCATATTAATTTTAAAGGTAAACTTTTCTCTTAAATGCTATTCTTTTACTTTTGAAACAATTTAGAAGGATTTAGGATATTCCAACAGTATTTAATTTGATATTGAATTCAAATATTACATAGATTAAAAGAATTAATCAACAGAAACTTTACTTAAAATTAGAGCCGGAATAAAGTAGTCTTTAATAACAACCTCTAGTATATCTTTAATTGCCTAAAGGCTTTCTTTTATTTGTTGAAAAAAAGACAGAATCCATATTCCATTAATTTGTTAAGACGATAATGATAAAATGTAGACAAAGAACTAAGGAATTTTATTCAAAGCTTCTTCAACATTGGTTCTCCACATCACAGCCTCATAGAATGGCTAATTTTTTATTTATAAAATGTTTCTCTCATCAACAGTAACAGATTCACGCTATAATACTGTTGTAGCTATACTGCCTTTAAATTTTGAAGCATAACTCTTAAACTTAAAGTAACCTTCAGAACTAAAACTTCTTTTCACCTCATCAGCAAATTACTATACACCCATATATAAACATATCATAATGATGTCCCATATTTTTAAAAAGTTAAATGTTGCAAATAGCAGAACATAAGATAACTATCGTAAAAATGTAAACCTTTTGAATACGCGTTGTTAAAATATAGCGAATGATAACATTTATAAAATTGGATTGACTGCAGTTAAAACAATTAATGCAGATATAAACATATCACCTTCATTATTCAAATAGATGAGAGAAACAATTTATAAGGACCCATTCAACAATGACCAAATAGTTTGAATAGTTGCTTAATACGAATCCAATTTGCTCCAAACCTCATAATAATCGTACAAAGTTAACAAAAATTAAATATTCCCTATTGCCTATTGAAAAAGAGCTCTTTTGGTTATAGTATCAATTTGCTACTTTGCTTCATTGATAATTAATTAAGGTTCCTCATTTAATACTTAAGGTGTTTAATCAATTATTTGTGATTGTTAATTGATGATTATACTACTAACTCCTCTCTAGGGAAATAATGATCCTCTGAGGTTGACTGGAATCAGGTTTATAAAATCTTGAGAAAGTTATATAAAATCATTTCTAATAAATTAATTCTGTTGTACTAATTACCATCCCGAAGTAATTTTAGGATTATCGATAAATTCTATTTATGTGACCTCCTTCTTCGGTGCATTTGGGTCAATATTATTCTGTGCATTTAGGTCAATTTTATCATTCTTCCAAAGTTTATCAAGATTATCTATGGTTTAATGTTCAAAGGTTATCTTAGGATCATTTCCAAATATACCTTGCAAAAACTATAACCGACTTTAATCATGATATAAAAGACTTATATTTCCTACATTTATCAATTTAAAGCAATTGGCTAAATATTTTAAGGTAATTTCTTCATATATATCAATAAAATGAATTTCAATATTCTTAATTTTTTTCTACTTTATTAAGGAACTTATTATTTAAATCATACATCTTTTCTTCTAATAAGGACTGAAGTTAGTTGGATTAATATGAAAATAAAAAGATTAAACAAACCCCATATATTATTAATCAGATTTTAATAATTACTTTGTTTCTTAAATTAATGTTAATTTAATTTTTTCTAATTTAAATGATAGATCTGTTTAAATTAATCTATAAGTTGTAGTAAATACAATGAATTATAATTCCGCAAAAGTAATAGATTAAATTACTAAGTAATAATAAATAACTAAACACATTAAATCCATCCCATAATCCTTTTTCTGTGTTATAAAAGCCTTATATAAAGAGTTAAGGAATAGTCTAAATGGTCATTGTAATAATCATGGAAAGCAGAGCAACTCTGTGGAATATTAAATCTCTAAAGATATTGACAGGCTTTGTTCTCTCTTTGAAAAGAATACAAGGGATTTCTAAATTTATCTTCTCCGCTTAATTACAAATATTTATTAATTTCACTAAAAGAGAACTATCTAATTGATTAATCTCTATTGAAATAATAAATAAAGGGAGCTAGTTTTAAATAACTCAATGCTCCCATCACCATATAATATATATAGTAGGCGATTTCAACAACAAAACTTTGTTTAGCTACTTCTCTGAATTTATAAGTGTACATCCAGGCTCCACTGTGAAGTAAAATACACAAAATAATAGAAAAATTATAGCAGAACCCATAATAACTATCTTCATCAAGGATTTGATTATATGAATCATAACATAATGTGAAGATAAGTTCAAGAATATTTAAAAAATATATTAATACCTGAAATCCTATTTTAGCATAGTATTTGTATATGCTTGAGCTTCTTTTAACTTCCTAAAAACGATTTTCTATTAACTCTTTGAATTCACTAATCAAATTCTTCTCTGTATGTTATTCCCAAACTAAATTTGGGTCAGGACTTGATTTAAAACATCTTGAAATAAAGGATGAGGCTCTTTATTCTGCAACAACAGGCAATGGGTTTGCATCTTGAATTACGGACCTTAATGGCTAATGATAACAACAAACTCTTCCGGCTTCTTCTGCCTGTATTTCCTTTTTTGGTTGCTGCACTTAGATTGGCTATCTCGATTTCATCGATTTCATCGATTGAGTATGATTAATTATGCTTGGTCAATAGAACAAAGTATCTTTTTATATTAATAATTAGCTCAGAATATATCAGATAAAAAAAAAAATTATTCTACCTCATTTATATACTATTAAGTAAATCTGATAATTTTTGATCTTTATATACTTATATTAATAATTGTTAATTTTTAATCTCTAACAAAAATTTGAAATCCCTTAAAGAGATATATGTTTAAATAATATCAAACAATAAATTTATTACCCATAAAACCATCGTTATAATTTATACTAACTAATATAAATATTTCTAAAAGTCTACAATAATTTTGTAAATGAATTCTTAATTTTGATTTCTACAGTATTAGGACCCCTAAAATGAATCAAATATCAACTTTGTAGTATGAATTGTTGATCAATTTTTATCCATCCACTATTATATATCAATCAAATAATAAAATAATTTCTTTAAATAGACTTATGAGTTATCTGAAGAAATAATTAACAATTACAGAATTCCCTATAGACTGCTTTGATTAGTTTAGGAATTTGTTCAAAAAAGAAGTCGGATAGAATTTAATTAAAAAACTATAATTTGTTTTGGATATTTAGATGGGGGCTTTGACTGATTTTAATACCTCACCTAAGTTATTATGAGTTAGATTTTTCTATGAAATAAACAAAAACGAAGACTTTTTATATAATTAATTTGGTGATATCTATATATTTTTAAGTGTTACAAATACTCTTTTATCGTTTTTATTCATAATATTATAAAGAGATTGAAAATACTTCATTAGGCCTAAGTATGTTAAATTGGAAAAGATATTTAAATTTATAAAAATGAAAAGGCATTTTTTTGAATATTTATAAATCTATTTAATCAAATGAATTCTAATCCTATTAAAAAAGAGAGGTTTATATTATTTTGACAACACTAAAGTATTTGGTTCTAAAATGAATGTATTGTATATAGAATTAAATGATATCGATTAGAAATAAAAAATACTTTTTTTAAGTAGTTCTTGAAAAAAATAATGAATTTTAATATTACATCACACATAAATTTATTATTATAATGTCTAATTCCATTCTAATTAATACCTCAAAAGAAAGTTGAATTTCACAGCAGATTTAAAAAGTAGATAAAGTTGTAATAGTTTTGTTTAATAAACCTCAAAAATTTTATTTTAAGTTTGATAATAAATTATCACTATTTTCTAAGAATTATATTGTATAAAGTGTATAATTCAATTTAAATAAAGAATTTAATTAATACAATGTACTTCGTAGAGCTGAGGTATTGGAGTTATCTATCCAAAATAATTTTTTATTATATAGTTAATTGGGTAATGCTGATCTAAAACTTTTTTCTTGCAATCCAGTAAGAAAAATTATCAAATAATAGAAAAGTGTTTATATGAACGTGAATTTAAAAATAAATCCACCCAATATTTTACAATTGATGAAATAAAATATTCAATTTTATCATTCTAAAGATTTTTATATTATGTTATTAAACTTTATTCTCAATTGCAATTTTAAGATTCTGATTTTAAAGATAAATATAATCAACTCTTTTTGAAATAATTAATCAAATTTTTCAGAAATTATATATTTTTTCTAATCAAATTATAAAGATATTATTATTGAATCCTTATAAATACTAGTTAATTTTATTATTTTTGAAGGACAGAAAGTTTTTTCACAAAAATTTTTCTTTCTTTGATTCTAAGTAAGAAACTAAACCTTTAATTCAAAAAAACCTCTCACAAAGTAGAACAATAAAGAATATATCTATGAAATTTTATTTCATGCAACCCAAACAGGGTGGAGAAGGTCAAAGCTAATTTAACTAATAAATCATTTGAATAATAATGTATATATTTTAATCATTTTAGATGTAATTGTTTTAACTAATTTATATTGTGCTCCATATCATTTAGGTCAAATCTCCACAAATTTAATCCACTATAATTTAAATTTAATAAATATTGGCTATTTACAATTTATAATTATTGATTCATTGATGCACATTTCGATTTCTTTTATGAAGATATAAAACTTATTTTCCTAGTACTGTTTCATACGCTTCTATTTAATCATATGAAATTGCCACCAATACTTTATCATGTTTAATTAAATAAATATCAGTTGAATCCGAGGTTTCTTATGAATCAA